CTCCTTATCCCCAGCCGGCACAGCCCCACCTGATCAGGCTCCTCTCCTTCTGGCTCCAGCATCTCTCTCGCTCTTGGACTTTCGACACCCATCAGAAAGGAGAATCCAAGGGATCACAGACTTTGTTCTCACTTTTTTTGTTGTTTTCTGTTGTTGTTTAGTCGTGTCCGACTCTTTGTGACCCCATGGACCAGAGGGCACGCCAGGCCCTCCTGTATTCCTTCCACGGCCTCCCAGAGTTGGGTCAAATCCAAGTTGGTAGCTGTCAATGACCCTGTCCAGCCATCTCCGTCCTCTGTCGTCCCCTTTCTCCTCTTGCCTTCCCACTTTCTAGCTGAGTGTAATCAAGGAATCGCACTGCCTTGCCCATCTCTAACGTGCTGCCAGATGTTGCCGCCATTTTGATCCCCCACCCGTCCCAAACCCTCCTCTTCATCAGGTTAGGCACAATCTGGATTGCAAGGATATTGTGTGTGTGTGATGAGATCAGTCAGTTCTGCAAACAACAGCCGGGGCAAGAAAGCAACTCGGTTAGGGAGGCCCAAACATTCCAGGGCAGGGTTGACAAACGAGGGCCCAAGAGACCTGGGTTCAAATCCCCTCTGGACCAAGGACCCTCACTAGGCGATGGCACTGGTAAAAACCCTCCTTACATTTATCTCTCATACTCTGAAAATCCTACTAGGGTTGCCACAAGTTGGACGCGACTTGGCGGCCGATAACGTAACATGAGACGCAAACTCACAAATCTTTTCACATGAAAACATGGTTCCTGTTGTCTCCGTGCAGGTTTTTCTTCAGTATGCAAAGCTGGGAGCAGAGGAACGTTTTAGCTGCTGTTGTTGTCGGGCAACCGGGAGCCAGAAACCTTAAGTGGTTCTAGCGATGGCTGTGTTGGTCCATAGGCTTTAAAAAAAAAGAAACAGAACAAACCCACAGAGGAACAACACTTATCTCACCAGAACTTTACCCCAAGCTAGATGCAAAATCAGGGAGGGCAGACAAAGGCACAGAAATCCAAAATTTGGCCAGGTGTTCTAAGCCCTAGAGATCTGGGGGTTTCTTTGGCATGATTCAGCAGCAGGCAGTAAACGAACCCTGTGCTTAGTCCTCCAGACTAAGAGGGTCGCCTCCGTGCCAGCTTCTCCCGGGTTGCGTGTTGCCAAGGGTCATGTGATACCGACATGACTGACTCTCCAAGCCCCCACTTTCCACCTTGAGGGCTTTCAAAGTACCTAGCCAAACTTCTGGATATTTGTGGCATCCCGCCAGCCCAGTGTTTAAAATGACTTTTCTGATGAGTTGTTCTAAGAATTTAAAGGCTTGGATTTTTTTTTTGAGGGTGAATTTTGTATTTCATGATTTTTCTGTGTCGGCTTCCTGCCATCTCAGTGTTTAAAATGATCTTTCTGATGAGTTGTTCTAAGAATTTAAAAGCTTGTCTTTTTGTTTTTTTTTGAGGATGAATTTTATATTTCATGATTTTTCTGTGTGTGTATTCATAACCAGTCCCAATAAAAGTGACAGCCACTGTAATGTTTAAGATTCATTTGATCCTGACCTGCCTTCTGCTCACCTCTACCATCATCTCTGTGCACCTCAAAGAAATTCTTCTCTTTGTAGCCTCAGCCACACCGCAAGCAGGGAAGGCGCTCCAGGACAGGATGAAGGAGAGGTTTTACTCTGTTAACAGCCTTCCAACCCGACCTCCACGCAAAGACGGAGCTGAAAACATGTCACGTCCTTTAATGTTCAGTCAACTTTCATCCTCTCCTTCCCCCCCCCAAAACCCTGCTCTACTGAGGTCAGAGAGTACAGCGGAAGGTCGTGTACCAAACAGCTGGCAGACACACCATTCTCGAAAGTACAAAAATATGGGGCGAGGCAATAAATGAGGCGGCACCACCCTCTCTGGGCAATCCCATGTATGGCTGCCATGCTGGGAAGCTCCATGACCATCTGAAAGCGTTCGACTGCCCATAAGGGCGCCTTTCCTCTCTCCTCCTCCTCCTCCTCCACGGTTCTTTATTTGGTAAGGTTGGCCAAGGGGGCGAGGGGTGTTCTCCAGCCCTCCGTGGTCTCCGTGGGGCGAAGGGAGAGGCTGACTGCTTGTCTGGGTCCGTGGGAGGGGGAAGCGTCTTCATTCCTGGGCCTCTTCCGACCGCCACTTCAGGGACTCCTCCTTGCGGGCGTCGGGCTTGATCTGGTTGCGCATCCCTCCCAGGAGGCTGGAGGTGGCCTCCGAAGCCACAATCAGGGGCTTGACCACGGTGGGTGGGATCTGCCGCAGGACCCCTCCCACGGCCCCCGTGATGCCTTTTTGTTCGTGGCCACGGGCTGCCACGTCACAGATGGCCTGGGCTGTGTCAATGACACCCTGGAGGAGGAGGAGGAGGAGAACACAACGGTCAGCAAGGGCAAATTCTCCTTTCTCATGGACACCTTTGTTTGCTACAGGGCAGGATCTTTCCCTCCCTCCCTCCCTCCCTCCACGAAGGCCTCCGGTATCACTACCGTAGTTTCAGACGAGCCATTGTGTAAATGTTTACTTGAAAGGTTAGACACAAGCAAACCCACACAATTAATTGCCACTGACTACAGGCTCATAATCGCTGCTGCCAAGTGGGAGGGAGGGAGGGAGGGAGGGAGCCCCATGCCCAGGAGGCACAAGGGTTCCCAGATATACTAAGAGAGCGGCCCAGTGCGGACAGCGCAGTCTCAGGATCCTGAGTGTCATTTGATGGAGGTCAGAAAACCAGAGAGAAGAAAAAGGGTTCCCAGATATACTAAGAGAGCGGCCCAGTGCGGACAGCGCAGTCTCAGGATCCTGAGTGTCATTTGATGGAGGTCAGAAAACCAGAGGAGGAAAGCAGAAGAAAGCGGTGGGGCAGGACACACACGTTGGCGGGTGGACAGGGTCAAGAACAGGAGCAGCCCCATAATACTTCAAATTTTCTCTCACAGCCCCCATTCTGTCGGGTTCTGCCTCGCGTCATGCCCTTCCGCTCTCGGAGGGAGGGAAGAGTGGCGTCGCCCCGCGTCCTCTCTTTCCTCTCGCAGCCCCCATTCTGTCGGGTTCCGCCTCGCGTCCTGCCCTTCGGCTCTCGGAGGGAGGGAAGAGTGGCGTCGCCCCGCGTCCTCTCTCGGTCAGAACAGCGGAGACGTAGCCCACCAAGCGGTGTTTCCAAATCTGGGCAAGGGGGACACCCACGTACTCCCCACCCCCATAAACCGCTTCATCCTGGGGGACCCCCCCTTACCTCCCTCACGGTGTCATAGGCCTTGGCCACCCCCTCGCGCAGGTCGGCCGGCTGCTGGCCACGCCTCAGCTTGCGGGTGGACTTTTTGTCCAGGAGGGTCCGTGTGGAGAGGGGAGCCGTCGGGGAGAGGATGTCATAGACCGTCTCGGCCGTGGCCTAGAAGGAAGAAGGAGAAGGCGGCAGAGCTGAAGGAAGGGGGGGTGTTTCTGCGCGGGGGCGGGCGGGTGTCCTCCCCCAGCTCTTTACTTTCCTCCGGGGGACCCACACCCTCACAGCAGGTCATGCCTGGGGAGAGAGCCCCCATCACAGAGTGGCACCCGGGCTGTCCGTGGGAGAAAGCAAGTCAGGGTGGGATGATTCTGGGCAGAACCTCATGCTTCAAACAGCCAAGTCCGGGGGGCTGGTGCCCCCCCCGTGCGAAGAGCTAGCCCTGGGCAAGCCGCACCGTCTCAGGGCGCCCACCGAAAGAAGATCAGGAAAACCACTCCCAGGTAGTTTCTCTCTAGACTTGACTTGACGACCGTCCACTCTTATGAAGGTTGTCCGGCTAATTAATATCCTTCTCCCCTAGGCTAGTGCTTCTGGGCCACCATCCTGCACAGACCGCCACCCCGAGCATCTTACCCCCTTCCTCTCTCTCTCTCTCTCTCACACACACACACAGACACACACACAGACACACACAGACACACACACACACACACGCAAAAACAGGAAAGGAAGGGCATGGAGAAACGGTTGCTGAGCTCAAGGGCCGCCGAGGCGGTGGAGGTGCCGAAGGACGCCGCCCCTCGCTGCAGGCCCCGGATGATCCGGCCATCCTTGCGGTACTGCTCGATGGGCAGCCAGAAGAGGTCACGCAGGCCGTGGACTGGCGGGTGGGGGGGGGAAAGGAAGGGCATGGAGAAACTGGGGGGCTTTCAGAAGGCTCCCCCTCAGCCCCAAGCCCACTCCCACCCCCTCCTCACACACAGAGACTGGTCCTGCCTCCTCCCGCTTCCAATCAGCCCCCGTGGGGGGTGGGTGTCTGTGCGTGTGGGGTGTGTATATGTGTGGGGGGCTCCCCTTCTGCTTCCAAGGGGCGACTTACAGAGCTGCACGACGGAGTGCATGGGCCCCACGCCGCCCAGGATGCCCGGGAGCTGGTTCTTGCGGATGTCCGTCAGCCACTCGGTCAGGGCGTAGCTCACCACCTTCTCCACACCCAAGAGCCTTGGAGGGGAGCAGAGAGGCCGAGAGGTTTTGCGGGTCCCCTCGCCCATCCCGCCCGCTGCCTCTCGACCAACCCAGAAGTTGCCACTCCACTCCAACAGCGTTCTCCCCCCCCTGCGCGCATGCAGCTCCACTTCCTCTGCGCTGACTGCCCTGGGTCTGCCATCCTGCCCCTGGGCATTGGTGGATGCCCCCTCCTCCTCCTCCTCCTCTATTCCCCACTGTTTCCTCCCAGCCCACCCTGGGTGGAAGAGGTTGGGGCCTTACCCGTGCCGACAACAGAGCCTCTTAAGTTTGAGCTCAGAGCAGTTGAGCTGTGCCAGGCCGATGAGGATGCCGGCAAAAGTGCCCTGAAGAAACAAGGGAGGGAGGGAGGAAGACAGACGTTACGGAAGAGAATTGCTGCCCCCCCCCGCCAAGAGTCCCTGCGACATTCAGAGAGGAACCTCCGGGCCTCGCTCGGGCAGGGGCGATCTTTCCCCCCAACAAGAGAAAGAGGCCCCAGAAGGGAAGAACTGGGCGCAGAGCAGATCCCCCGTCCATTGGCGTGCTTTGGGGTGGCTGGCATCTCTGATTCCTTTTGGCAACCTGCGAAGCACTGATTCCAAGACATCACTTGGGGTCCCCTCAGTGGCTGTTTTTTTTGGGGGGGGGATAGGAGGCGGCTGGATTTCTGGAGCCCAGTTTCTGGGGTTGGGAGGCGCAACGGCAGCTGGCTGGCTGCTCACCATCTGGTCCACCGTCACATGCTTGCCGTGATAGTCCAGCCAGATGGGGACTTCAGAGGTGAATCGGAACTCCCTGGAAGAGAAGGAAGAAGCCGGGAGGGGGAAGGAAGAGGTGAGGTGCCTGCTGCGGAGGAAGGTCCTCTCCATCAGACGCTTCCCCCTCCACCACCACCGCCTCTAACCGGGGAGCCTGGCCGGGGTGGCTCACGGGACGGCAAGGCCACGGGTGCCCCTCCTGAAGGCGACCACGAAAGAAAACAGCTGGAGCCAGAGACAAGCCCTCTACCACCTGGGGACCAACTTGCCCCCCCCCCCATTGTAAAAGCACAAAAGCACACGGGGGCCGGGGGGGGGGGGGGAGAGAGAGCTCTTGTCCTGACATCCTGCTTGTGGGCTTCCCTCTAGGGCCTCATCCGGTTGCCCACGAGGAGGAACAGGGTTGCTGGACTAGAGAGGCCTTTGGTGTGACGCTGCAGAGGGTGCTTCCGAGGTGGACCATGAAGACCTTGCCCAGATAAACACAAAAAGGCTTCCTTCCTTCCTTCCTTTCTTTCGCCACCCGGAGCAGACCTCGTCCGATTCTGGAAGCCAAGCCAGGCCTGAAGGGGGGACGGGAGGCTCCCAGGGGAACACCAGAGATCTCCTGGCAGGGCAGGAGGACAGGATCCTGCACAAATCACCGGGAGAGTCACTGCTGCTGGTGCTGCCAGGCTGGACCAGAGGTTGGCCTGATCCCGCTCAAGGCGGCTTTGGCGCTTCTTGCTGTTGCCACATGCCGCATTTGACTCCCAGCGACTCCCGAGGCGAGAGATATTTAAGGAGCGGTTCTGCCAGTACCAACCCCTCCCTCCGAACACAAAGCCGATCATCACAATAATACACAACAGGGCTCTGACTCTCCCGCAGGCGCTCCCACCGGAAGTAGATGGGCTGCTCCGATGAGGAAGAGGAGGCGTTGGATACGGAGCTGGTCTCGCTGGCGGTGGTCTCCACCGAGGCAGTCATCTCGCCCTCGGCTCCCTCGGGCTCCTTCCCTGAGGCGTCTGCTGGACCTTTGGGGACGAGGAGGCACACGAAGGACGGGCCTTGGCAACAGGGAGCGGACCCTCCCCCCCCCAC